TGCTGCTACTGATTTGTCTCCGTTAATGGCGTCTCAGATCTACTAAAGCTTCCGATTATCATATAAATCCATCACCTCTTCTTCAAACTTTTTGCTAAACTTTCCTTCTCCGGTTCGTTCGAGATCTCAACAATGCAGAAGCGATTAGCCTTATCGTTTCCAGAAGAAGTTTTGGAGCATGTATTCTCGTTTATACATATGGATAAAGATAGAAACTCTGTATCTCTAGTGTGTAAGTCATGGTACGAGATCGAGCGTTGGTGTAGGAGGAAAGTCTTCATCGGAAACTGTTACGCCGTAAGTCCAGCGACGGTGATCCGTAGATTCCCGAAAGTGAGATCTGTTGAGCTTAAAGGGAAACCTCACTTCGCTGACTTTAATTTGGTGCCTGATGGTTGGGGAGGTTACGTTTATCCTTGGATTGAAGCCATGTCTTTGTCTTATACTTGGCTTGAGGAGATTAGATTGAAGAGGATGGTTGTGACTGACGAGTCTTTGGAGCTTATCGCGAAGTCGTTTAAGAATTTCAAAGTTCTTGTGCTTTTTTCCTGCGAAGGTTTCTCTACCGATGGTCTCGCTGCAATCGCTGCTAGTTGCAGGTATTCTCTTAGCTATAGCAGATTTGCGTTACGGTATTGTTTCAGATTGTGAATGTTCATGTCAACAATGCAAGACTTGTTTCTAATCCGATCTGTGGAAAAAATTTCTGCTGATGTTACAATCTGGTCTTTGTGAATTTTTTTTGTTGGGTCAAAGATTTTCCGTATCTATCGAAAGATGTTTTGAAATCACGTTTTTGTGAAGATTCTTATTATAGCCCACTCTTTTGATTGGGTCATTTCTCTTTATTCCTGGATTATTCGCTGAATGAATCTCCTGAGGTGGGAAATCTAGTCAATTTTTTGGAGGTTTCTTTCTTCTCTTTCTTTTTGTGGGCAACTTTCATTTCTCCTTTTTTACCTTGTTAGGTAATATAGATCTGTTTTTTTTGATTCCCATGCTTTGGCTCTGTTTTAGCATCTTCTTTGTGAAGAAGTAGAAATTTTATCGTTTTCTATGTTTAGATAGCTTTCCCAAAGTTGTATACATTGGATCATAATATAATATACAATTGTGAACAATTAATTTCAATCATTATTCGTAGTCATGACTCTTGCACATGTTTTTGTATATATTGAGGGCCCCTGATGTTGTTTATGGTCTATGTTTTTATCATGTGGTCAAATCAGCTAATTAGTATATGATTCTTATAATGCAGGATGTTGAAAGAGCTTGATTTGCGGGAGAGTGATGTTGATGATGTTAGTGGTCACTGGCTTAGCCATTTCCCTGATACATACACATCTTTGGTATCACTCAACATCTCATGCTTAGTGTCTGAAGTCAGTTTCTCTGCTCTCGAGAGGCTTGTGAGTAGGTGTCCCAATCTCAAGTCTTTGAAGCTTAACCGAGCTGTTCCTCTTGAAAAATTGGCAACTTTACTTCAAAAAGCACCTCAATTGGAGGAATTGGGCACCGGTGGGTACACTGCTGAAGTACGACCAGACGTGTTCTCTGGTTTATCTGTAGCTCTCTCTGGCTGCAAGGAGTTGAAGTGCTTATCTGGGTTTTGGGATGCTGTTCCTGCTTATCTACCAGCAGTTTATTCAGTTTGTAGTCGGCTTACGACTTTGAACCTGAGCTATGCAACAGTCCAGAGCTATGATCTTGTCAAGCTTCTCAGTCAATGTCCCAAATTGCAGCGTCTTTGGGTGAGTCCATTTTAACGTACCTTAACACATGACTTTTGAAATTTAAAGTCATTTTACCTGATGGTATGAGAGAGCTTGTGCTCAGAGTTTTCTTAAATACAGTGAATGGTTTACGATCTAAATATAATGCATCAACGCTAGTTTTATTAATTGCATTTTATTACTTATTGGCACAGGTGCTGGACTACATCGAGGATGCTGGTCTTGAGGTGCTTGCTTCAACCTGCAAGGACCTACGCGAGCTAAGAGTGTTTCCATCTGAGCCTTTTGTGATGGAAGCAAATGTGCCATTGACGGAACAAGGGCTTGTCTCCGTATCCTTGGGATGTCCAAAACTCGAGTCAGTTCTCTACTTCTGCCGTCAAATGACCAATGCTGCATTGGTAACCATTGCTAGGAACCGTCCCAACATGACTCGCTTCCGTTTGTGCATCATTGAGCCAAAAGCCCCTGACTATCTGACTCTAGAGCCGCTGGATGTTGGGTTTGGAGCCATAGTAGAGCACTGCAAGGATCTCCGCCGCCTCTCTCTATCAGGCCTCTTAACGGACAAGGTTTTCGAGTACATTGGGACATATGCCAAAAAGATGGAAATGCTCTCAGTGGCGTTTGCAGGAGACAGTGACTTAGGCATGCATCATGTTTTGTCCGGGTGCGACAGCTTGAGGAAACTAGAGATAAGGGACTGCCCGTTTGGAGACAAGGCGATTTTGGCGAATGCTTCAAAGCTGGAGACAATGCGATCCCTTTGGATGTCTTCTTGTACCGTGAGTTTTGGAGCCTGCAAGTTATTAGGACAGAAGATGCCAAAGCTCAATGTGGAAGTCATCGATGAACGGGGTCCACCCGACTCAAGACCCGAGAGCTGCCCAGTAGAGAGAGTGTTCATATACCGAACGGTGGCAGGTCCTCGGTTTGACAAGCCTGGCTTCGTCTGGAACATGGACCAAGACTCAACCATGAGGCTTTCCAGGCAAATGATCGCTACTAACGGATTGTAAAACAAATAATCGAGGTACATTTTTCATTAAATCCTTGCTCATCCATTATAATCGCTCCTGTTTAGGAACACGAGAGAGAGCTCGGTTGCCAATAATTTAATTCTGGGCTGCCTCATACGACCCACCAAGCTCATGAGCAATGAATAAGTGA